TGTGAGCGTGTACTTGGTATGAGAGGCACAATTTGTTAAGATAATGGCATTGAATTATGTAGGAAGATGTCCTTATTTTTCCACGATGCATGTATTTTCACACTCCTGCTAGTGAGGCTGCAATGATATAGCATTTGCATAAATCACCTGGCTCAAAATTGAGCATGTATAAGTCCTCAATGAATGTTAATGGCCATTTTAAAAGAAGTTTGGAGAAATGGCAAACTGAAAAAAATATATATATTTCTAACCCATTTCATCATCAGATGACAAGTTTCCTTAATATGCAAAGAACTCCTAGGAATCAAGAAGAAAAAGATCTACCACCCAAAAGAATCATGGCCAGGAAAGGTACCTAGAGAGTAAAGAGAAAGCCATAAATAGCTCTAAACACATGGAGCTCTGCTCTTGATAAGAGAAATGCAAATTTTCTCTCCTCTGAGATCCTATTTTTCACCTGCATGTTGGTGAAAATCCGAAGTTTGATACAAACCCAGTAAGGGCAGAAGGAAGAACTCTTACCCATTTCTGGAAGAAATGTGAATCAATTTTGACAATATATGCAAAAAATCGTACATGGGCACAATCTCTGACTCAGAAATCCCACTTTGGAGAATTTATGCACAGATCCACATGCATATGTGTGAAATGAAGTTTGTACAAACTCCTGATTGCGGAAATGGGTGGGGAAAAATGTCTCCCAGAGTGACATCAACTATGGGCATCCGCGTGGAGGATGACCGCCACTGCAAAAGAAATCAACGAGGATGCACGAAGATAGTCCATAGTCCGGATGGGGCAGCGGGGTGCGGGGGACTTGTGAAGAAGGCTGCCTTTCACTGAATTCCTGGCATATGCCACCACACGGACGATTTTTTTTTTTTTTTTTTTGTATTTTATTTAGAGACAGGGCCTCACTAAATTGCTGAGGCTGGCTTTGAACTCGCGATCCTCCTGCCTCAGCCTCCTGAGCCACTGGGATGACAGGCGTGCGCCACTGCTCCCGGCTCCCACAGATGAATTCTAACAACACTGTGCTCAGGGAGGAGTCAGACACAGGACCCAGTGCTCACCACACCCTCAGCCCTTATTTATTTATTTATCATTTTAAATGGAAACTCTGCAGCTGGGGCTGGGGCTCAGTGGCAGAGCACTTGCCTGGCATGTGTGAGGCACTGGGTTCCATTCTCAGCACCACATATAAGTGAATGAAATAAAGGTTCATCAACATCTAAAAAATATTTTAAAAATGTGAATACAGGACTTTATTCCCCTCCCCTCTACTTTTTAAGTCAAAAGTAACATCAGTTGGGGGAGGGGGGTACATGCCTGTAATCCCAGGTACTCAGGAGGCTGAGGCAGGAGGACTAAGAGTTTGAGGCCAGCCTCAGCAACTTAGAGGAAATTTGTCTCCAAACAAAATAAAAAGGGCTGGCAGGAGGTTGGGGAGCTCAGAAGAATAGTGCTTCTGGATATGATCCCCAGGACCGTACACACACAAAGTAACATGTTTAACAATTTTGAAGATGTTTAACAGTTTTTTATTGTGGTAAATAAAATATACATAAAATTTATCATTTTAAATATTCTTAAGCATACAATTAAGAGGCATTAAGGGTATTCCCATCATTGGTGTAAACATCTCGACTATCCAGCTCCTGAACTTAAAACAAAATCATTTTATTTTATTTATTTATTTGTATCATTTTTGTTTTCAGTGCTGGGATGAAACCCAGGCCTTGTGCACCCCCCACACACACCCCATACCAGGAATTGAACCCAGGGGTGCTTAACCACTGAGCAACATCACCAGCCCTTTTTTTGTGTTTTATTTAGAGACAGCGTCTTGCAAAATTGCTGAGGCTGGCTTTGAATTCATGATCCTCCAGCCTCAGCCTCCTGAGTCACTGAGATTACTGGCTTGCGTCACCACACCCAGCTCCTCTCTGTCTCTTCAAGGACACTTGTCATTGGATTTAGGACCCACCTGGCAATCCAGGATGACCCATCTTAAGGTCATGATTCATCTACAAGGATTCTTTTCTCCAATGAGGTCACACTGGGGCTGGGATATTGCTGGTGGTAGAGCCCTGGCCTTGCAGGTGACCGGCCTGGAGGGAGGGTGGGGACCGATTCCCCATTCAACCCACCACACCTCCCTGGAGCTGGGTAGGGCGCTGCGCACTTCATACAATTTCACAAACTTACCCAACAGCCTGTTGGGTGCACTTCTTATCTCCATCTCCCCTGAACTCAGAGAGGTGTATGGCTTTGTCCAAGGTCACACAGGAAGGAGGATTCAAAACCAGCCCATCGGAGCCCAAATTTCTGATTCTTTGTGAGGCACCAAGGAGATGTCTGGCTTCATCAGTTAAGTCACTCAGCAAATATCTCCCCAGTGTGTCCCTCCCCAGCCTCGGGGCCAGTCATCAGCTCTGAGGAAAGGGCCCAAGGGCACGTCCCCAAGGAGTCACCGTGAGGAAAGGCAGAGGATAAGAGCGGATTATTCATCGGCCCTTTAGAAGCAGAACAGTCAGAACGTGGCCCTTGGCCCTCAACACCCACACAGGGCAACCCAGGCCAGGAACTGGTCATGGAGAAAGGACACGGGGAGAAAGTTCTACCCAGAGGGACCGACCGATGCTGAGGAGTGTTGGAAGAATCTGATGCTCCCGTCGAGCCTTTCCTTTTATATAGATGAGGAACCCAAGGCACAGAGAGGTAAATTGACATTCCCAAGCTCACACAGCAGGAAAGGGGCAGAGCAGGGAGTCCACTCAGGCCTGCCTGTCACCAGAACTCCTCTTTTTGTCCTCAGATTTTAGATTGAGATAAAACTGATGTGACATAAAATAAACTCTGTGTGTAGAGAGCTGGGGGTCGATCCTTGCACAGGCTACGCACATGTTCTACCACCGAGTCCCACCCCTGGCCCAGGATGGCCACCTCCCTGTGCAGCTCAGCTGTCCTCAGTCCTCGCACGGGGTTCTTTAGCCACCCCTCTGTCTAGCTCCCAAACATTGTCATCGTCCCCTAAAGGAGGCCCCAGAGCCGTTAGCGGTCACTCCCTAGTCCCCCCACCCTGGCCCTCTTTCTGTCCCTGGCTTGGCCTGTTCTGGTCATTTCTATAAATGGACTCATGCCATGTGTGGCCCTTTGTGTCCAGCGTCTCTCGCTCAGCGTCGGTTTTGAGGACCGTCCATGTAGCTCGGCTCAGAACAGAGGTCCCTGAGGGACGTCTGCAGATACCACAACCCACAGGCATTCAAGTCCCTGCTCTAAAAGGGTGCAAGGTTCCCCTGTAACCCACACACATCCTCCCGCAGATTTAAAAACCTCCTAAATTGCTGGGAGCCATTAGCCAAGTAGGTATGACAATTTCCTTGCCAGCGTACCCCATGTTGCAGTGACATTGAATGTAGGTGACCTTGCTCAAGGACCAAGGCGGATTAGGGCGTTCCCGGTTTAGGTTCCAGGTTTAAGGTTTAAGATTATTCCTGCTGGGAATAGGGCGTATCCTGCTGCCTGAGTTCCCCTTGAGTTCTCACGGGATTCAGACAGTATATTTTAGAGATAGAAGCCCAGTGGAGGTGGATTTGGGCAGAGAACGGGGATTTGGGCAGAGAATGTGGATTTCCCCAGAACGTGATTGTAGACTGCTGGTGTGAGTTCGGGAATAAAGAGTTGCTGTTTGAATCTACAAGCTGTGTGGTGGCTCGTGATTGTGTGCCCAGCCAGACTGCGGCACTAAATTACTTAGGATGCCCAATACCATGTGAATGCTATGCGCATAATTGTTGTACTGCACTCTTTAGAGCTAATGACAAGAAAAAGTCTGTTGTTCAGTACAAATGCAGGGGTGTGTGTGTGTGTGTGTGTGTGTGTGGTTGGGATGGAACCCAGGGCCCAGCTGGGCGCGGTGGGGCTCGCCTTTCATCCCAGCAGCTCTGGAGGCTGAGGCAGGAGGATCGTGAGTTCAGAGCCAGCCTCAGCAACAGTGAGGCGCTAAGCATCTCAGTGAGACTCTGTCTCTAAATAAAATACAAAATAGGGCTGGGGATGGGGCTCAGTGGTCGAGTGTCCCCAAGTTCAATCCCCAGAACCGCCCTCCCGAAAAAAAATCCCAGAGCCCACTAGGTAAACACTTTACCATTGAGCTGCACCCCAGTCCTCTGTTTTATTATTTTTGAGACAAGGTCTCACTGGGTTGCTGAGATTGGCCTCAAACTTGTGATCCTCTTGCCTCAGCCTAGCTCCCTGAGTAGCGGGGGTATGGCTGTGTGCCCACCCGATGCAATATTTTCTAAGAGTATTTTCCTGCAGTTGGCTGAATTCAGGGGTCCAGAGGGACAACTATTTTTTTTATATGGCTGAATAAATCCCCTTGTCGGGTGCCACGATTTGGATGTGGAGTTTCGGTTTTGTGGTGACATGCACAGTGGTGTGGATACACTCGGTGCCACTGCGCTGCACACTGACAGTGGGTTCCTATGGTAAAGTGGGTGTTCTGTGTATTTGGCGCATGGTGGCTGGATGTCACTGGGACTCGGTGATCTCTGGTTGCTTTTGGTTTTTTGTTTTGCAGGGCTGAGGGTAGAACCCAGGGCCCTGTGCACGCTAGGCAGGCGCTCTGCCCCCGAGGTGTGCCCCAGCCCCATGTGCTGAGGTTTGCTCAAGTTCAAAGATGTCATTACAGGGCTGGGGACATAGCTTTGTGGTACAGCACTCGCCTGGCACACAGATACCCTGGGCTCCGTCTCCAGCACCACAAAAAAAAAAAAAAAAAAAAAAAAAAGAGCTCTTGTCTCTCTGTTGAAGATGACAGCGAGCTCAGCCACATCACACTGTCCCTGGCAAAAGGTTATCACTCGGCGGGGCAAACGGGAAAGGTCGCCTTGGGGGGCCATGCTGCCTTCCCTCTGCTGGGGGAGATAAAGGAGGTCACCCAGCTTCCTCCAGGCAGGGAGGGGGGAGCCGTGGTGTATAAATGGGGGCCAGGAAGCAGCGGAGGCGCTGGCCCACGCGGGCATCCGAGGCGTCGTCTGCTCAGCATGGCCAAGTTCACGCTGCCGCTGCTGCTGGCCCTGGCGGTGCTGGCCGGGCAGCTGTGGCTGGTGGCCGAGGCCAGGGCAGCGCCCTATGGGGTGAAGCTTTGTGGCCGTGAATTCATCCGGGCGGTCATCTTCACCTGCGGAGGCTCCCGGTGGAGGCGGTCAGGCCTCCTGGCCCCTGAAGCTATGGGTGAGGCCGGGAGGGACAGGAGGAGGAGGGAACAGAGGGCCCGATGCGTCCAGGGAGCCCGGGAGCGAGATGCTGGGACGAGAGCCCCCAGGAGTCAGACCCCTTTCCTACCACGTTCATCTGGGCGCCCTGCCCAGCCTTGAAGCAGTGGCCAGGGATCAGGGGTTGGCAGAGCCACCGGGCAGGGAAGGGGGCAGCCAGCCTCCCCAGAGGCTATTTCCCGAGTTCCTTCCGAGTGCCCAGCCCACGCTCAGCAAGGCTGTGAGGGGGGCCACCAAGTCCTGAAGATCGAGGCACTTTCCGGTCCACTCGGGCAGGTAGGGTGAGCCATGGGTGTGTAGGTGGCTGGATTCTGCTGACCAGCAGGTGACCCCTCCCAGCATCCTGATTCCCCTCCAGAGATCCGGGAATCTTGCGGAGTGGTTAAATGGTGCGATTCTGTCAAGGCAGATAAGAGTGAAGGGTGGAGGTGATGGGGAGGAGGGGCGTGGATGGACGCACGGATGATGGACGGATGGACAGTTATGTGTGTGGACCCAGAATGCACAAGAACTGACTGTGCTCACTTAGTAGTTTTATGACTTAATAGCTGTGTGTTCTCGTGCAAGTCATTTCTCATTGCCTCTGAAAAGTGGGGGTGACAATGACAGCGCACCCACCTCATGTGGTTGCCATTAAGAGGAAAAACCCATAAACGCACTTACAACGGTGTCTGGCACACAGCTAAGTGCTCAGTAAACAATCAGTGCTATTTTGAGTGCTTATCATGTGCCCAATATTGTTGTAAGTTTTTATGGGTATTAAGTCTTCTACTCCATATAAAATTCGAGAAAATAGGTGTTATTTCCTCCACAATGTTGATAAGGAAACAGAGACTGAGAAAAGTAAGTTCACCTGGTGACAACTATAACTCGGAGAGGCTATCTCCCAAAGCATGCTCTTAAACATCATGGCCTCAAGAGTAGGAGGAAATAAATGACGGAGAAACCAAGCTTAAGTCAGGTTGAACGATCTGCCCACTGAAACTGCTGGCAGAGCCAGAACACCAGCCCAGGACTAAGTGGAATCCACACGTTGAGTCACAAGGCAGAATCACAAGAGCAGAGAAGAAGCTGAGACAGTCAGTGGCCAACATTTTGGTCAGAGTAGCAGCCGAGTCCCAAGCCACAACTCTCTCCATCTTTTACAGGGGACGTCTTCCGGGATGCAGACACTGATGCAGACAGCCTGGCAGGCGAGCTGAACGAAGCTGTGGGCTCCAATGAGTGGCTGGCCCTCACCAAACCTCCCCAGGCCTTCTATGGTGGTCAACCCAGCTGGCAGGGGACCTCTGGGGCTCTTAGGGGCAGCCGAGATGTCCTAGCCGGCCTCTCCAGCAACTGCTGCAAGTGGGGGTGCAGCAAAAGCGAAATCAGCAGCCTCTGCTAGGCCAGCAGCTGAGCAGCCAGAGGACACCAAAGGTGGTGCCCCAGCGCAGCTAGCCACTGGCCTGTCTGACCGGCACCTGTCTTTCTCACACTCATTCATCTTCAAGCCCCAGAGGCCAGGTGCCTTGAGCTAAGCCAGTCCCCTCGCTCCCACCCATCCAACTAAACACCTTGACCTGGGGCCCTAGGCCAGCTCTGTCCCTCCCTAGCCACATGGGGACCCTCCATCTTGACTTCTGACCTCGCCCCAACATCAGCCATGTCTCGGCCTGGCCCACACAGTCCCTTGTTCCTACTCTACCCAAACTGGTCCCAGGAAGACCTCTGCTCGTCGCATGGCCCCAACTGTGGTGGCTGATCCCTGGCCGACCCACACGCCCGCATGCAAACTTTGCAGCTTCCTTTTCCCTGCCTCGCACCCCGGGTCCCTGCCAGTGCTCCATGGCTGCGGACCCCGGAGATGGTGCAGGGTTGTACCCCAGGTTCCCTTACAACCTGGGATGGGAGGCGCAGAATGAGCATCAGAACCTTCCACGACCCCAATAATAAAAGTTCGGAAGCCCTGCAGGGCGTGTGCGTGGCGCTGCTGGGGGCGGGAAGCGGGGGCAGGTTTCCGCGGAGCCCGGCACCGCCACCCCGCCACCGAGTCCCCCGGACGCCCCGGGCCACCCCCACATCCCCCGCCCAGCCCCAGCCCGCGGAGCATGGGACTTTCCGCGGGGCAGGGGACGGGGACGGGGAGGGACCCAGTCAAGGTGCGGGGGCGGGGCGGGGCGACCCCGCCCCCGGCCGTGCCGGAGGCGCAGAGCGAGCGGCCGCGCGGGGCCCCGCAGGGCTGGGCGGCACCGGGGGTCCCGGGGAGTCATGCGGGGGCGCGGGGCTGCCCGCTTCTGGCCTGGGCCAAAGCTCCAGCTGCTGCTTCCGTTGTTCCTGCTGGTCCCCCGAGCGCGTCCCCTGGGTGAGTGGCGGGCGGGATCGCGCCCTGCGCTGTCGGCCGCTGCGCTCGCCGCGGAGCGCCCCGTCTCCAGAGCGCGGCGCCCAGAGGGGCGAGGGCCGGCGGCAGAAGCCGGGGAGCGGGCGGCCGCGCGGTGGGAAGGGAGCGCCGCGCGGGGGTGGGAGCGCCCGGGTGTGTGACAACAGGATGTGGCTGACAGAGAGGAGGAGGAGACGCTTTGCCCAGAGCCCGGGCAGGGGTGCCCAGCGCCCCCACCTTCACCCACTTCTGTTAGCGACCCCCGAACGCCCGCTGGCCGTTGTTAGAAGCCCCGGAAAGTCCAGTTTGAGGGATGTTCAGGCGACAGGGCTATTTGACCCCCTTCCTCGGGACCCTCTGCCTCCCTCTCCAGGCGGCCCTGGGCCACTGCAGTGCCACGGAGTTGAACCTTTGGGGAACTTGAACTGCTCATGGGAACCTCTTGGGGACCTGGGAGCCCCCTCTATGCTGCACCTCCGGAGCCAGAAATAGTGAGTACCCGGGGGAGTCTGGGGAAACTGAGGCATTGAAGGTGGCCACTCAGGTCCCAGCTTGCTCTGGGCGAGGAGATTCAGGAGTTCGGCCCCCCCAGCCCCAGTCCTCCCCAACTCTGCAGCCCACCTAATTCCAGATCCCTTATATTCTTCTGCCTGACCTTTCCTTCTCTGAGCCTCCCTTTCGTCCCCTTTTAAAGTGGTAGTAAAAATGGAACCTGCTCCCAGGGTTGAGTCTGAGGGTTCAATGAGGCACATGGCAACGAGAAAACGCTTAATACTTTTGAAGCTGTTTTATTATCGCTGTTTAACCTCAGGCAAGTAGTTTGACCTCTCTGAGCATACAGACAGATCAGTCTGTTGCTCTGGATTGCAGCTGTGAAAGAGGTAGATTAAAAGCCCAGCCCTCGTGGGGTCCAGAGTTCAAGGCAGAGACCCGAGTTCCTTCACCATAAGCCACATCGTGGGTGCTTTTTTCTTCTTCTTCTTTTTAATGGTGGTTTAAATACACACAAGGCAAAATTTACCATTAGTGGTTACCGTTAGCAACCACTTCTAAGTATTCCATTCAGCAGCCTCAAGTACACTCACAATGTCATGCGGCCACCACTGCCCATCCCCGCAAGTGCGCGTTTTAGCTGGTAGAACGCGGAGAGTGGGGGACGTCCCCTCTCCTGTGTGAGTGAGATGAAATTCCCGTAACAGAACTGTTCTGAAGTGCACAGTTCAGAGGCATCGAGTCCCTTTGCGGTGTTGGCCACCAGCCCCGACCCCAGGGCAAACCCAGGCACGCCCGTCCCCCTCTGTCCCCCTCCGTCTGGTCCCTGGCAGCCTCCATGGACTTCCATGTCTGGATTTCATGCCTGAAGCTTTGGAGTCACGCGACACGTGGCCTTCGAGGCTGTCCCGGGTCCCGTCTGTGATGTGGCATGTGGTGTCTCCATTGTCCCGCGTGGGGACAACATGCCCGGCGTGTGTCTTCCCAGTTTGCTCCATTCCCCCTAGAGACGCGTGTTGTCTGGCTGTTGGGGTATAGGGCTGCTCTGTGCCTGGGCCTGCGAGTTCCTGTTCCGGTCCCTGTTCCCTTCCCTGGGGCCTGGGGCCGGGGGTGGCGTTGCTGGCTGAGAGTCCGCTCTGTGTTTAACGTTGAAGCAGTACCTGCGCCTTGCCTTTCCCATTCCCACCGGCCTCGCAGGACTGTTCGTTTCCCCACATCCTCACCAATACCTGGTTTTGGGGGAGTCTTCTTTTTTGTCTTGTTTTCGTGACTGAGGCGTGAGATCCAAGCTTTGGGGCTCTCCTCAGCCTCTCCCCCTTCCACACACACATCTCATCCTCCATCAGCAAGCCCTAGCGGCTCCCCCTTCCATGTTACCCGCGACCCTGCCGTTCCTCCCAGGTCCCCAGCACCTACCCTGACCCACCATTGCCACTGGCCAGGGCTGTGCTGTCGGGTATCTTCTGGTCCCTGGTTTCCAGGTCAAACCCCACACTCTTAACACCTGGGTCAGCGCACACCCCTCCTCTGCTCAAGAACATTCCATGGCTCCCACCTCATTCAGAGCAAAAGCCCAAGTTCTCCCTTCAGCCCCTGAAGCCCTGTACAATATGCCCCATCACTTCTCCACCTCTCCTCCCCTCACTCCTGCCATTGCTGGCTCCCCCCCAGCCACGTGGGCCTTTCTACTGTTTCTCAAACACCAGCCACAGTCTACACCCGGTCTGACTGCTCATCATATCCCACCACCTGGCATGGCTTTGACTGTAGGCTTCGCTTCCTTTTCTGCCCCTGGAACAGCTCCAGAGGGCAGGCCTTTGTTTGGGTTTTCATTCTAGTCTCTGCTTCTAGAACTTGGCTGTTTGTTGGCTGAATGGTTGCATGGACCTGAATGTGCATATGTACAGTAGGTGCTCAATAAATATCATAACATGCACAGATGTTCCTCCTATTGTATAGTCAACCTATTGTAAGTTAAAAATAGTGTGAGTCACAAATGAATCGAGCTGGGCGGGGGGCGCAGTCAGTGGTAGAGTGCGTGCCCAGCCCGCCCAGGCCCCAGGTTCAATCTCCAGCTCAGAGGGCCTCCCTGGGCCTGCGCATGGGCAAGAGCATCTAATGAAAAAGCCTCTTTTATGACTAAGTGTCCAGCCTCTCGTGAAATTTATCAAACACTTCACTGAAATGGAAAAACGAGAGTCGTCCTGAATCGCCGGCCCAGGAAAAGGTCAGAATTTACAACAAAATAACTGCGTGTGGTGCTGGGATGGAGCCCAGGGCCTTGCCCGGGCCGAGGGCTGCACCACGGAGCCCCCCCCAGAGCTCCAGACCCGGAACACGGTTTCCACCGAACGCTCCACCTGCACCACCGTAAAGTTGAAAATCTCCAGTGGAGCTGCCACCATGGGCGACCCTCTGGATCAGGTCCCCAGAACTGTTTATTCTCCTTTGGTGTTTATCCCCCTCCCCGCTCCGTCTTTTCAGCTGGATGGTTATTGCCCTCATCTCGTGGGTGAGAAATGGAGGCACAGAGAAGTCAAGCTCCTTCCTCCAGTACACACAGCTCCGAAGCACCAGCGCCGGGCTTTGAACCCAGGCGAAGGCCAGCTGTTCCAAGGGCCGTTGTCCCGTGGCCCTGGCTCCAAGCTGGAGCCGTCTCATGCTCACATCTCTCCTCACAGCCATTCCAACAGAACCCGGACCGTGGCGGTGCCCTCGGGGCAGAGCTGGGTGACGGTTCCTCGGGAGCAATTCACCGTGTCTGACACGCTGCTCATCTGGGGGACCAAGGCAGGCCAGGTCCTCTGGCCCCCCGTCCTCATCAACCTGGAAACCCGAAGTAACGTGGCGGGGGGTGGGGAGCTCTGGCTGGGGTGGGTGGTTCTGGGGGCCCCGGCTCACTGCGCCCCGGCCTCCCTCCCCAGTGAAGCCCAGAGCCCCCCGGCTGCGTCCCGAGGTGGACTTTTCAGAGGACGAGCCCCTGGAGGCCACGGTGCAGTGGGAGCCACCTACCTGGCCACCTCATAAGGTCCTGATCTGCCAGTTCTACTATCGAAGATGCCCGGAGGTGGCCTGGACTCCGGTGAGTCCCAGGGACCCTTTTTCCCTGCCCTGTCCCCAGCAAGTCCCGGGGCATCGTCTCCAGGTCGGAGCCCAGCCCTGGGCTCGCTCTGCACCTGCCCCAGTCTCGTGCGTCCTGTGCCCGATGCCTGCCCTGCGTCTTCCTCCCACAGTCATCTACAGCCAGCCCCCCCACTTCCAGGGGCGCTGCGCCCCCAGTTTATCCAGATGGGAAACACGGGGGGCATCGGTCGGGGTATGTGTGGACTGTTTTTCTTGTCATTGTCCCCTAAGCAATGCAGCGTAACAAATAGACAAGCAGCCTTGACGTTGTGTTAGGTTTTACAAGTCGTCCTGAGAGGGTGGCCAGCCTGCGGGACGACGTGCTGAGTCCTGTCCCAGGGCTGGGCTGTTTTATCGAAGGCACTTGGGCATCCTGGGATTTTCGTATCTGCAGGGTCCTGAAACTGGTCCCCTGAGGGTGCCCAGGGCTGGCGGTGTAGGTCTCACACAGGCATCGATCAGATACACTTAGAATATTTCAGAAGCTCAAAACATCTTTCTCCTTTTCTGGGAATCAGTAAAAGTCCTGGAGTGGCTTGAGTTAACCTTGAAATAATAACATGGCGACGTTCAGAGAACACCCCCGTGCGCCTGCCCTGCTCTGGGTTCTCTGCAAACACGAGTGTATTGAATCCTTCCATGAACTTGTGGAGGTTGCTGGCTTTGACTCCTTCCCATTGTATGGAGAAACAGTGCAGCCTGGCTCTCAGCGACAGTCAGAAACAGGTAATCAAAGCCACTGAGCCTGGCATGGTGCCTGTGGTCCCAGCTACTTGGGAGCTGAAGTTGGAGGATGACTTGAGTCCAGGAGTTCAAGGCCAGCCTGGGCAACATAGTAGAACCCCGTCTCAAGAGAAAAAAAAAAGGTAGATATCCATTTTATAGTTCTCTTTATACAGAGAAGTTAGGCAACTTCCCCAAGGTCACACAGCAGGAAAGTGGAAAACAAGTCCAGAGCAAGGGGACCCCAAAAGGAGTA